TAGCCAACAATTCGTGACTAGAATGGTAGTGGGCGTATCTCGCGCTGAGGAAGATCATATTCGCTGGAACAGGCTTCTGGGAAGGTGACCGCTGAGGTTGCATGTTGGTGATAACGATATCGAGCATCTTTTCTAAGTCGCTCTCCTGAAATACGAACATTTGATCATGCAAACACCGATTCCAGTCGAATTCTTGTAGATCCTCTTCGAATTCATCCATGGGCTATGATAATCAATTAGTTGGCCAGTCATACTTTCGAGATTGGAGCAACTTACCTCAGGTTGGTCGTCTATTCCCATATTGCCCAAATCAACCTCCAGGTCGCGTGCGCTATCCATCATCATTCTTCGACGGAATTCGTTCTCCGCCATCTCCTCTTCAAACCTATCTTGAGAGAAGCCAGGGTTATAAAAGTCATCAGTCACTCCAGCGTTCCCAAGGCTATAGCCGTTATCATGTAAGTAGAAGGACATCTCGCTGTCGGGTGCAACAAAATCAAAAGCTGTTCTTCCAGACGAGGTCTTCGCCTCCGGTGACGCTCCATTGTCTAGCAGTATCTTCGCAATGCCCTTGTGTCTATTCGTCATTGCCCACATTAAGGGGCTCCAATAGTTGCGATCCTGCTTGTCTACATCGACTCCAGCGTCCACGAGAGCCTGCACCACGGTTTCGTGTCCCTAAGCGAAATTAGCGATCAAGCAATAGACACGCGCAGTGAATAAGGTATCTTAACTAACAAAGCAACTCGCATAAACCAAGGAGGGCGTCCCCTCTTCATCTGGCGCATTAATATCAACGAACGACCTTGCCTTCCCACTAAGTATCTTTTTTACGTTATCAAGGTCGCCATTGCTCGCGGACATAATCAAGGCCTTTTGAAGTATCGAGGTCTTCTCCTCATCTGGAAGTTTCTCATCTGTCGCAATAGCGTCCACATCTCCAAAAGCCTCTCCTCCATGGTGTTGAGCTTGCGCTGCGAGCATTTGCATCAGTCGCGTATCGCTATCGGGCATGCTACTTGCTAAGTCTTGATCGTAGTTGGAATCGTCCAAAGTTAGGTTACTAAATTGCAGCGGCTTCGCAAGCATCGGGCTTGTCAAGAACTGGGATTGACCTAGAAAGAAGTTGCCACGATTAGTATCCAAATGAATGTTTCAACCCAGCTTGCAGACAAGCGTCGTAGGTTACCAACCTTGCCAGCCATCGTACATCTCAGTCTCAGGGACTAACTCTGTCGAAACAATTCTGCGATCATCTAGAGACTTTGGAAGATCGGCTGGGAGAGCTCGAGGCTTCGACGGTTGCTCCCCGCCGAAGCCCCCGCCATCAGAATCCCCAAAATCCATCGACAAGTAGGAGGCATAGGAATATTTCGCTCAAGAACTTGTTTAACTCGTCGCGTTAAATAGGAGGACGACCATGCTTTTCCAGAAGGGAGATTCCTTATTGACTGATCTGTGGGTCTTGATATTGGACTAGACTTCAATGAGGACGTTCGTCATTAAAAGCGTTAAAAGTATGGTACAGTGTTAAAGTAGTTATACCTAGTTAAAGTATGCACTAACTAAGCCAAGCATTTAGGTAGATTAGAACATTTAACTACACTAGACAGATAGATGATGACATGATAGCCACAATGGAACTGCCACAATCATATCAGTACATCTAAGGTATATATTGGTCCGTGCATTCCCCCTATCCATAGCACAGTTACATACCTACATTGAGGTAATGAAACTGTAACAATATTCCTAGACTCTTCAGCTCAAATCCTCAGCCTCGTTTACATTCGTAAGTAATTATGATAAGATATCTTCAAGCATAACCCCCAGGTATTGATTTAACTAACTAGAGTTAATTCTAAAATTTGAGTAAATAAGGTATAGTCATGACTCATAACTACTATGCTATGCATTGGAAGCAATTCACTTCCTTCCAAGTTTCCGTCAACTAAACCACATACTCAGGTAGCTCTCTTAGCTAGCACCCGCAACCGCTTTACGCCTCCGTCAGGAATGATGGTAAGCTTGACGTGAGTGAAACGTTGGTCTTTTATCGCAGAGTCGAAGCTATGCTCCTGATCAGGTCCGCACCGGCTAGGCTCGAGGACCTCAGTCCAACCCTCGGCATCCGCCGTAGGCTCCCCAGCCTCTTTCCACTCTATAGCATCAATCTTCGTTTTCTGAGGGAAGTTTCCTCGGAAAAAGGCCGTGTCTACCACGAAGCTTTGGATGAGGGCCGGGGCACCCAGGCGGATGACAGCCCAGTCAACATGTCCCTTAGTTCTAGAGCGCGCGGTTTCCCAGCCGTCGCCCATGTCCTTACCTCGGCCGGGTAGGATGAGGTTGTCCTTTGTGCCAAAGTGTTGGTCGCTGCATGAGACTGCTACGCCGCCATTTTGAGCAGCAGCTAAATCGAAAATTGCATCTACGTCGTCCGGGAAAACCGGTACTGCGTGACCGAATAGTCGAAACCTCGCAATACCGCCGTCAGGATACATGTTCAGCCTAACGTGCGTGTATTGCTTCGAGGTAGGGTTATCCAACTTCCAACCAAATCTTTGCGAGGGACCACATTCCTGGATGCCGAGGATAGTTTCCCAATTTCCCTTTTCTCCCTTCCATGAAAGAACTTCGTCATCGTTTACGGAAAAGCAGCCTTCGACGGAAATTGCCGGAGCATGGTTGCCGGAGAAGAAAGCGGTATCAACCTCAACTCCTTCCACAGTTCCGGAGGCAACGCCGAGCCGTATGACGACCCAGTCAAAAGGCTCTGGATTATGTCTTCTTGTTTCCCAGCCATCATACCAAGCACCTGTATAGACCATCTTACCAGGTTGCCTAATAGGAGGTGTAGGCGTCAACAGGTTGATAGCATCGGCAAACCATTGGTCCGAGAAACCTAGGACCTTGCCTCCCAATGTTCCAGAAATTAAGTCTGATATGATCTGAGTTAGCCTAAGAAAGTCCAAGTCATAGATAATTATTCATCTTGCATGTTTTTTTTTTCTTTCCTCTACCTCCGCACGTGGTCCTGTTTACATACCGATGTTAGTAGATCGGAAAGTCTTATCGATTTCATCCGAGGCGATAGGCGTAGCCTTAACAGCATCTAACTTGTACTGAATGTCTTCAGTCATGTTTAATGGTAGCTTCAATTCCTTTTTTGTAAAGTGGCGTTCCTAACAAGCAAGACTTCGATAATATGACATAAGAGGAAGCAAAATGGTTTCAGATTGTCTACCTCCCAGAAGACAACCCCGTTCTGAGGAGTAACTATCCATTCCGAGCTCGAAGTTACGAGGCGCTAATCTAGTGGGGCGAGCTCCGGAATACGGCTACGGGAGATAGGTAGGTAAGTACATATAATACATAGAAGCACGCGGACGGGAACTCTGTGGTAGGCATGATTAGCGGCCTATGACATGTGTAATATCATTTACATGTATATACACTTAGGTACCTCCATATGTATATCAGCCCCGCATGTCCCTCCTCTTGTTTGTCTTTAGCGTACTATACCTAACATCCTCTTATACCATGCCAATAAGTAATTCGTTATTTTCGTTTATAGTTAAAAACATATATAAATCTCGATCTAACCTTATATATATCGTACGTTATAATTATATAATATATTTTACTTTTTTTTTATATTTAATATAAAATATACTTTCGTATTAAAGTAAATTATATTTATATATTATAAGTAATTATAAATATAAAAAACCTTTTTAAATTAAAAGTTATTTTACCGTTTAAAAAAGGTTTTTTAAAATGTTTATAATAATAATGTCGAATCGTTAAAATAATATTACGCGAATATATTAAAAAAAAAGTTTTTAAATAAATATATATTTATTTTATATATATTTTTAAATATTAAACATAAATTTATATATATAATATACTTTTAAATTAAAAGTGTATTTATTTTATATATATTTTTAAATATTAAACATAAATTTATATACATAATATATTTTTAAATAAAAAATAATTTTAAAATAAAAATAATTTTAAAAATGTAATATAATTTTAAAAGTGTAACATGTTAAAGTAATACTTACGTAAATAAAAAAAAAGGTAAAAAAGTAAAAAAAAAAAATTTTCGAAATAAATAATTATTTTATAAAAATTTAAACGTATAACTTTAAAGTTTTACATTAAAGTTAAAAATTAACGTATAATTACCTTATATTATATAAATAATTAATCCATTTAATTAAATTAATTAATTAATTATATAAAATAAATTAAAATTTTATTTATATAAAACCTCGTTATATATATAAACTTTTTTTTATTAAAAAATAATTTTAAAATAAACTTATATTTTAAAATAATCTTTTATTTTAAAATGATTATATAATAAATTTTTTATTTTAAAATAATTATATAATATAAAATTATTTTATTATTTAAAATATTTTTATATATAACATTATTAAATTAAAAAAATCATTTATATAATTATATAATTTTATATTTAAAAATTATATTATATATAATATAATAATAGTTATTATTTTTAAAAAATAATTTTATTTTATTTTTTTAATTTTATTATTTAAATATTTTTACCACGAAAATTATCCCTATAAGCATTTTAAAATATCCCCCCCACGCGCTAAGGTATCCGTGTAACTCCCCCGCACTAGCTTAGGCATGTACATACAATACATACGTAGTCCGCCCTACAATACAGCGGCTGCTTGGGAATCGCAGGGCTCTAATTGGTCGAAGCTCGTCTTCAGCAGCAGCCCGTCATGTCCGTTGTCGATGATGAGCTCGATCCTTCTAGGAACTTAGCTCCCAGCCCATCAAAAAGATGATACATATGTATGAAACAGAGCTTCTTTTTTTTCTCTTTCTAATAGTTTCCGTCTGGCTCTTACCTAGTTAAAACCAATCCTAAGCTTTATGTATTAATCTCTCAGCTTGCTTTTAACTCTCCACGTCACGCACCGCTTCCAATCCGTCATTTAATACCTACCTACCTACACTACACTACACTACACTACACTACATACGCACGCAAAATACCCCGGTAGGCTACCACTTATTTAAAAATAGCCAGAATGGCCTCGGCGACGGGAATACCCCAACATCCCCCGGTGGATTCGGACAACGGACAACAAGACGATCAAGAGCCTCTGCTAGGCCACCCGGGGGATGTTTCTCAAAGAGACAACGCTCCCGTAGTCAAAAACCTCGTCATTGGTATAGTTTCGTTTTTTCGTCTTCTCTTCTGTTAACATAGATGTCATGTTCTTCGAGTCCTTGCCCCGCCTTCGATTCTACAAAGATATCTTAGTTATAGTGTAACTATAACTATTCGTTGCTCAATAAATACTACCTACCGTGCCCACTGCTACTATACATACTATTCTACTCTATTCTACTTCTACGATGCCAAAGCTCATACAATCCTCAGGCACCGGCGTAATCGCCGAGGCTGGCGGCATCCTCCTCGTAGCCTCCGTCTGGGCCGCCGTCTTCCTCAACGGGCCGCTGATCCTATTCTCGGTGCACCCTCTCGCGCAATCGGTCGGCCTGCTCGTGCTCATCCAGTCGATCCTCGTCCTGCAGCCCACGCACACCGGCGCCCAGAAGCAAGTCGGCCAGAAGATCCACGCCGGGCTAAACTTCCTAGGCATCGTCACCTTCGCCGTCGGCGTCATCAGCATCGAAGTCAACAAGTTCATAAACAATGGCCCGCACTTCCACTCCGTCCACGCGTACCTGGGCGTCATCGCCTCGTTCTGGCTGCTGGCCCAGTATCTAGTTGGGTTCACGATGTTCGCTGTCCCGAAGCTGTACGGCGGCGAGGCGCAAGCCAAAAGCATCTGGAAGTACCATCGCTCGAGCGGCTACGTCCTGCTCTTGTTCCTTGCGGCTACTGTGATCAGCGCGACGCGGACTGACTACAACCTGGACGTCCTAGGGCTGAGGCTGTGGGCCACGATCGTCATCGCGCTGTTGATAGTTATTGGCGTCTTCCCGCGGATTAAGAAGCAGAAGCTGGGCTTTTAAAGCAATGCTACCTCTTAGAAGATACGATGAGAAGACGCAATTGTCCAAACAGCATGTAGCGCATTGCAAAATGATGATATTTTACAGTGTACACCTTGGCAGTTCGTGCCAGGCATGTTAGGTAGTTTTATAGGGTTTTATATCCCTTTTCTATACTTTCTCTCCGGTGTTTGGCTATGGCGTCAAATCATCGATTCGGTTGGTTCGGTACTGGAGTGTTCATCCTAATGGAGTTCTACGCAATTTTTGGTATACGGTTATATTCATGGTGGATGTGTAAAAGTGCCGCTTAGCATGGCAGGATGCCTCGTGTTGGAGTCAGGAAGGCTAGGGTAGTAATAATAAAAGATGCAGCATCCTATCGAATTATGGTCTTCTCGTGGGTTTGGAGATGAAAGTTATATTAACAGTATCCATCAGCAAAAGCTTACTCTAAAAACTCTGCATGACTATAACCAAGTTTATAGTATTATCAAGACTGGTATGTGCAACCAAATGTTATGTTGAATAACAACTTACGCATTACATGTATCTCCGCGTACATTCCATCGTCGTAAAAGTAAACGAGACAGTAATTACGGACAAGTCAATATTATTGCAATGACATTTTAATTCCCTATGTTAATTTACTGAATACAAAATATATCAATTTCTGATTAAACCAACCAACACACATTATTACCAGGCATTACTCTTTCCTCCCGATCACCATAACTCACACGTAGGGTCCTTCACCGGGCACTTAAAGGCTTCCCTGAATGCCTTCGAGTTAGCCGTCGTCCCTAACACGCGCGCAAATGTCGGCGAGTGCGGGTCTGTGTAGATGCGTCGGATGGCTTCTTCCTTGCGGTTCTTACCGCACCACCAGTTGGCGTAGAAGACAAAGAAAAGTTGGTCTTGCGTGAAGAAGTTCAGCCCGGGGAGATTCTGGTCGGGTGATGTCTCCGTCCGGCTCTTCCACGCCGCGAAAGCTGCCGAGACACCGCCTGCGTCGGCAATGTTTTCTCCTAGAGTAAGTCTTCCGTTGACGTGTAGGGGCTCGCCATTGTTGCCCTGGACGGTGAAGTTGCTGTACTGGTCCACGAAGCAGTTGGCGCGCTTGTCGAATTCCTGTACCGTGTTGTTTGTCCACCAGTCGGTGAAGTTTCCATGCTCGTCGTAGTGTCGGCCCGAGTTGTCGAACGCATGGGAAAGCTCGTGGCCGGCAACCGATGCAAAAGCACCGTAAGATACGTAGCTTGGTAGCTCCAACTGGAAGACGGGGAACTGCATGATACCGGCCGGGAAGACGATTTCGTTTCCTACCGGGTTGTAGTAGGCGTTCACAATGTCGGCTTGCATACCCCACTCGCCGTGGTCAACTGGCTTTCCAAGAGCCGACCAAGTCCTGTTAGTTTCTTGGGCATTGCTCGATAAAGTGTTGTTGAAGAAGGAATCGGAAATTTTTAAGCCCCTGTAGTAAGCTTGCAATGCCTCCGGATTTGTTATGTTCGGGGAGGTCGTTGGGAAACCAATCTTCTGGTCGATGTTGTTCACCTTGTTGACGGCTAATTTTTTGACCGAGTCATCCATCCAACTGAGATCATTTAGCTTCGAAATAAATTGCTTCTTGATATCAAGTATGATCTGGTCACCAAATTCCTTTGCTTTGTCCGAGAAGGTCGCCTCAATATAAAATCGACTTAATATCCAACCCAGTGTAGAATCAACATAACCGACACAAGTCTTCCATCGCTCAGTCTTAGTGTCGGGATCCTAAAAACTGTTAAACATTTCCTACCCTTGAGTATAGGCAATAGATAGATACGTACCCTTCCGGATAGAGTGTTGGAAAAGCGAACAATCGGCTGAACTTCTGGTCCTTCGACGTAAGAAGAATATTGGTTCACTAGTTGCCAAACTAGATAGCTTTGCACGGTGGACTTGGAAGTTTTAGAGAGGATGTCTGAGACATTGCCTAGGAACTCCGGGAATGCTAATAGCATTGTATCCGCTGTGTAGTTCTGGGGAGCTAAGGCCTTGACGATAGAGTCTAGCCCGATTGCTGGACCGATCTTACCGGTATCAGCAACCTTGACGATGTTATAGTATTTCTAAACTGGTCAGCTCTGCCCGCGAACCTTTTATTAGATGAGTAATTTTACTCACAGTGACATCTGATTGATCCTCGGGAGGAGGCGTTGCCGCCGCAATCTTCTTCTCGAGTTCGACGACAGATTGAGCAAGTTCTTTAGCTGATGATTTTGAAGACGTGTTCGGAAGGAGGCTAGTGAAAACGTCTCCTAGCATGGTTTCATACTTGCTCACGGTGTCATTATCCTGATAGTATTCTGGCGAAGGCAAAGTTAACCCTGCTGGGTATGCTTGGACAATTACCACATCAGGGTTCTTGTCATCAGCGCCAGCAGTAAGGCCCACAAAGGAAGACACCCCTAATTTTTCTAGGAGTAGAATAGTATCACTAAGAGCAGGATAGTCGGCCTCTTCAAGTCGCGAATCGCTCCCATAAGCATCGTCAACAGGGAAAGACGTGATGACTTGGTTAATTAAGTCGACAAGGGGCTTAACGCCTACTTTCTGAAGAGTTGCTTCGTCTAAGCATGAGTTGTAAGCGTCCTGTATCATACGGAAATTCTCTTCGTCGGTAGAAGCAGCAACCTTGACGAGATTCTGCGGCGAAAACGAAGAGTGCTATAAAGTATAGATTAGCAAATTATAACCGAGACTTGAGGATCAGGATAGTATGACCATATTTCAATACATCCTCCTATGTATATTATAGGGCTGAGAGGTTGAAGTCGAACGTCAAATCAAAGTGAATACGCGCTTACCTTTGAAGTGGTTGGATAAGGAGACTCTAGGATATGTCTAAGGGTAGTTTGACCATTTTCAGACATGATAGTCCCTGTTGAATAAGAGGACTTGTCCTGCGGAATGTCATGACGGTTGATAAATCCATCACAGACAAGAGTGTCAAAGTTCGTGCATGGATCGATTGTCTTATAATCCGGAGATAGATTATCTATTATTACGATAAGCTCCTGCTTAGTAGATTAGGGATTACGGGAATTGACTAACAGAGGATCTCGGACGCTGCGTGAATACACTACGGTAGATATATAAGTTAACAACTTCCATTTTTCAAATTGTTGGGGTTTTAGGCTGCTTTCGAGTAAAATTACTCCTCAACGAGCTCGGTTATAGTGCCCTACTTTCAAGAAAAGCCATAGGGGATAAGGGAACTCGAAGTGCTACATACAGCCGGTGACAGACATAAGGACGAAGAATTCATGCTAGGCTTCCGTCGGGCACGTGACAGGACTATAATAATGTTAGAAGATGACTTCCGAGTAGATGCAAGGAAGTATATCAAAGATAGAAAGTTAAAGTTTTGGTGAAGGAGTGAGAGATGAGTTTATGGCAAAATTGCAGATGTGAGGTTGCAGGCTCGAGTCGAATGTGATCAAGTGGGGAGGAAGAATTCACGGATGAATGTAATTTTTCTTTCCTTCCAGTCCACAGATTGCGTCGGGGTACGACATCCGTCTGGTCCATATACCTAGCCAAAGACTCCCAGCATCTAGTCGACGGGATAAGAAACATGGTAACATAACACAGAGTTTGAGCTCAGTGATACTTTTAAATGAGTAGTGTATTTACGCAAAAGGGCCAACATCATGAAAACTAGCAACTCCAACATCTAATAGACTCAAGAAGGAAATGGCGGTATTATCTCGGGGAAAGCACTTACGGCCAGATAAAATTAATATTACGATGAAAGCGACGATGAGAAAGGCGCTCACAACCAGCGATACCCAGCGGCGGCGCCTCCAGGTTCTAGCCAGATTATTAAGAAGGGCGAGATCTTCTTGCGTAGTCGCATCCCTATTGCTCTCGTCGACACGGTTATTAGTTGCATCAAGCAGGGGTGTCCGTTCTGTCCGTTCGCCATTTGGACGCTGACTTTGGTCAGCCATGGTTGTTGATTGATGACGATGGATTCGAGCTCTTATGAGAGTATTAAATTCGATCTTCGTGGAATAATCCTCCTACAGCTTAGCTACCTAGATAATAGCGGGTTGCACATATCCGTAGTTATGAAGTCGTTACAAATAGTAATCAATACAAATACGTATGAGATGATGAGGTGACGTTCAGACGAGCTGGGCGTTTGGGTGGTAGGTGGTAAACGGGAAAGACAAGTTGAAATCTACAATGGCGGCTTGTCGACGGAGTAGGTAGCAGAACACCCCGTAAACTAAGCCCGAATAGGATATGGAGCACCTAATTTCTGGGGTAGCTACTTTATTTATCGTGTATGCTAGGTTCTGATTGGTTTAAGGGCGTTACTAATAGTTATGTAGCACGCGGAAGCTTATCCTGGTATGCCTGCCCAGACTTCCAGAAAGGGGCTAGTGGAGCTAGCTGATGGGCTGACAGGAACGAACGATGTCTCTCTACCGAATTCGCGAGGCTTCTTTCATCATCATTTGGTCTTAAGCTGTTCCCAATAGCTACTACGAAACGGCTATTGCTGGGCACTTACCACTTAACCTTCACTTTAATATTATGTTTCTCTCTAGACAGGTAAGACGAATTTGTCAAATGTGTGTTACGTAACACTTCAGACTTTAGTTTGCCGATTGAATCAACACATGGTAAATGCTTAGGTAACTACTTAAGCCGTGGGTCTTGGAGAAAACATCGAGTAGCTAATCAACAACGGATAGAGTTGTCTACTTCAAAGAACCACTGAAACATATTCACGTGCGCCATCGAGACTTAAGAACACTCGATTTTAAGATTACGATTAAGTTATAATATGTTTGCGTTCAATATGTCACTGAACGTAGATACCTCTAGCTAGCAAATGGCGCTGCAAGTATCTATCTTAGGAGGTATTCAATTATATCAAAATTTCAAGTCATCAACTATAGGAATATTAGTTTATAGTAAATATTAAATATGACGCTAAAGACTAGACTTCACCTTTCATTTTAGAAGAGAGGCTTATCCATGTGTTAGTTAATTGGCTCGTTCCAGGACTACCTAACTACTTGTTAATATAGGTAAAGAGGCAAGTATATGCATGCATGCATTGAGACTTAATATAAAGAGGTACCTATGTACTTAAGCCTCATTGCCATAGCAATCCCAACCGTAAGTTAAATTGTATGGCTTGATGACGCATTCTCAACCGAACTCGCTTAAAGACTTATTGACGAGGCCTTTAAGCGCTTCAGAGTTGAAAATGTTGCCCTTTCATTAGGACCCATGCATCCGTATTCACTTAACTAAACTAACGCGCGTACGAACTCTCAGACCACCACGAGAGCGACCTTGTTTCAGAACGGGAGGGTGTTCTA